TGAAGTAAATCATCCGGTACCGGAATTTCGTCCGGTATCGGCCCGATACCGATACCCAGTATCGGATCGGCGCATCTCCAGCAACTACTTGTAGCAGGATAGTCCTGGGCTTGTAAGCCAATCGTGGCATATTAGTCGGACTATATAAGATGGGTTATGGCCCTCTGCACGCTCTCTCTCTTCTACTGAGGCCAATGACACGCCCCTTCCGGTCGCTTCACCTCCGGTTCGTCGCGGCTTCAAGCGTTCGCGGGAAACGAGCTGGTTGATCGCTCCGTGAATTCATTCAGATTGCTGCTGGTAGGCTTGTCTCTCCATTATAGCTTGCTTAGGATAGAATGCTACATGTATGCTGAACTGCACACTGTGATTATGGGACACTGCGGCAGTCTGAGCGCTCCTGACGCGCTCCCCTGTAGGTATGTAGCTCATGGTTGCTAACCACGCTAGCTTTTGTGTGTGTTTTTAAACAAGTTTTCCTTTTGCGTTTTGCAGCGTTGGCTGTACTGGAGAGTCAGTGCAGCTCCGTGCCTCTGCTCACCACGCTGCTGCTTTGCTTCCTTCTCTTTGCTTCGTTCTGCTTTGCTGGACTCTGCTTTGCTTTGCTTTGCTTTGACTTTGCCTCGCTGCTGTTTCACCGCGCTGCGTTCCTCACTGTAGAGGTGAGGAGTCGTTGCCCGGCTGGCCGCTGCTCTACTCCTAAAAGCAGCTGGATTGTTTCGGTGTGGGTTGATTTCACCGTTTCATGGTCGAGCCTCAGAGGCTGTCTTTTAATTATACCCACAGTGTGGGTGCCCAGTGTGATTGTTTCATTCATTTTGCTTTATTTTCTTCTGTTTATCCTTATGGTATATTTCTGTTAAATATTTAGTTGGGAGGATTCTTTATCAATTTTCAGTTTTGTGATTGTTTAGTTTTGGGGACTGTTTCTTTTGTTTTTGTTTGTTTTTGTCAATTTTGAACCTGAATGTCCAAATTCTTTCGTATTTTCAGTTGTGCATTTCTTGAGTTGCAAATATATTCTTTTCTTTTGAATTTGTTCAAAGTTTCTTTTGAATTTGTTTGTATAATTTGTTGTTTGTATAGTTTACTTGTTTTGTTTCTTTTTGTTTAGTAAACTGAGTATTCCCCATTAATCC